TAGATTTTTTTATGTTTGACAGGGAAAGCTGTGCACAAACAGAAACACACACGCACATGTATATACATTCATTTAATTAAAAAAAATTAAATAAAAATTATATATATATATATATATATATATATATACACACTCCCCAGAAAAAAGGGCACTTTCTCTCGAGAAAGAAAAAGGGCAGGTGCTCAAGCCCCCTTTGATGTCTATGTGCACGTGCCTGAGTTGGAGTCAAGGTGCGTTCAAGTCACTTTGGTCAGAAGATGGCGATTTTACTTTTCTACATAAAAATGCAACTTTTTTTTTTTAACTCTACATCTACAAAATGTTGAATAAATAATGTACATTGTGTTTTTGCTTTTTTCTGTTTTTATTCAATTTATGAAGTTGATGTAAACTGAATAATTAATTACACAATATTTTGTATATGTAACTTATATAGCCTTATTGTACATGACAAAAAAATAATTGTATTAATTTCACCAAATTTACCGTCAATACAGTTGCTGCATATCTATAGTCTTTGGCTGCATTGCATCCAACATTCTTTCGCCCCCAACTCAGAAACTCGGGGCTTAAAGAAAATTTCGAGTTTCCCACTCGTTATAACGACTGGCGTTTAAGTGCGTTCAAGTCCTAAATACGATCTATCTGACATGACTTGAACGCACCAGTACACAGCGTCGTCAATTGAGAAGAGATCACTGTTACTATTTCTAAAACTAATTCTTTAAAGGCAGAGTAAGTGATTTCTGGTAGCCAATGTTGATATTTGAAATCACCAAAACAAACATGCCCCTACCCCAAAAGGGTCTTGCCCCTATTTTGATACCTCCGCCCCACATATACGTACGCAAGGATCCGATATTTACACGGGTCCTACTTCTTGCCTTATCGTTCCGCAGACGTTTTCCTCTTTTGTTTTTTATCCGCCATCTCTATCTTTCTGTCGCTCGGCTCGGCTAATGTCCGTCCCATGCACTGAAAGCTCTCTCCTCCACGTCACGAGTAGACACGCCCCTTATTGCTGATTGGCTACAAGTTTGTTTTGCTATTCGGCCCGAATCAGTTTTCTAAAGTGTTTTTGAAAAATCACATACCCTGCCTTTAATGGGGCAAATAAACCAACTGTCAACGGCCGTTAACAGAAGCCAGAAACGCTGAAGACTGAGGCAAAGAGGAGAAAATACTGCTGCAGACAGATCAAGCTCACTGTTCACGATGCGCAGAAAAGAACAATACTGAACTGAGGGTGAGGAGTTTATATACATTTTTGAGGAGAACTGTGTCTTCAGAAAAGTTTAGATAGCATTTTCTTTTCATCTTACCTCCAAGGAAATGCTATAATGCAGTTGTTCCATAAACGCCACCTGCTGTCAGTGAGTGAATTTGTGTCTCATTCAGCACATTTTTATTTTGTTCAGATGTTTTATGTAGCATAATATCACAAAGCTAAGGTCAGACAATTCTGTTTTTGCTTTAAATTCTGAAATAATACAATCTAATTTACATACAAAAAACTGTTAATGCTATCCACCTTTTTCTTCTGGCAAAAATGGCCACGCACGGCCATTTGTAAATTCTATGGTTCTAGCTTCCGGTCTCATTTGCATTCCAACTATTTTTAGCTGTACAAAACGGTTCGTTTTGCTGCTTTATATTGAAAATAGGTGTGTCTTACCATATTATTTTAATGTATTACCTTAATTATGAACACACTGGTTTGTAGTGCAAACAGTTTTACCGTTTACTACACGTTGTTATTCTTCTCCTTATTTTGCTATAGAGGCTAATGAACCGGAAGTCTTGCCCATAGGCTTCCTTCCATGTTGAAGAAAAAGGTAGATATGTAGCATGTTTGTTTGGATCAAACAAAAATTATTAAAATGCAGTGGTTCTGCAACTGTTTCATGCATTCGAATTCATATAAAGGCACAGTCAGGGAAAAAAAACGTGATAAACTGTAAAACCGCCAGTATCCTAAAAAAAAAAACAGTGATACAGATTTTTAGGTTAAACCGCCCAACACTAACTGATATTTTAATTGTAATATGATTACTGATGTGACAATATTACTGATTTTAGATCAAATAAATGTAGCCTTGCTGAGCATGAGACTTCTGTCAAAAAACATTTACACTTTTTGAATGGCAGTGTATGTTTATTCGGCGTAGGAGTATGCATCTGGTCCTTTGTAGTATTATATGGTAGTCTTGTGGTTTCTGCAACCACTGTGACAACCTGGATTTCATAGTTTTGTGGACAAATTAAAAATATTTAAAAAAATAACCTCTTTTCACACTATAAAAAGAACACACATTGTGCACCATTACCTTTTTCTGTTTAATAATTGGATCTTTCAACAAACAGAGGAATTATTCCCTAATTATGGGGAACATTCACATCAACCACAATCACTATTTTACACTAGTGTTAAAACAAATGATCAAGCCCTAAAAATTATTTTAAAATAAAAAGCACGATAAAAGCCCAAACGCTATATTCCAAGTTACCTGAAAACTTTTGGAGCATATCATATAGGGTTTATAGACTACTTTGAGGCTTTTTGGTAATATCTGGATCCCAAATGCATTATTGTATGTTTTCACTGTAAGAAAAGAGCAGTGTGAACATACTACTTAACATCTCCTTTTGTGTTCCACAGAAGAAAGTCAATCATACAGGTTTAGAACAACATGGGGGTGAGTACATGACAATTTTCACTTCCAGAAAGTCAAAGCAATTGATATTGCAATCAACTGCTTTAACATAAACCAGCCTGCATCATAAAATGCAGAGGAAAAGAAACCTGAATTCTATTAAAACAAACCCTACAGCTCATCCCTTACCTGGTGACTAACCTTTATTTGAACCAAAACCATTTGAAATTCTAATCTGCCCTCATACCAACATATACTCGATGCAGTCCATGAATCACAGCATCTCCGCTCACAGATCTGATGTGGCCTTGTCAAACTCGTTTATGTACTGCATGTCAAGAAGACAGAAGATGGGAGTGTAGTGTAATGCCGAGTTCACACTGCACGATTTTAGCCCGATTTTTCACTCGCGAGGCTGCGAGGCTCTTATTGTGTAAGGCAGGGGTAAGACAGAGTCCCGCCACCAGCCCGACAGGCCACACTGAACCGGTTTCCATGACAACAGAATTCTAATGACTACACCCCTGGCTTTTGCTTTGAGGGAGAACGATTCTACTGGATCTCAGCGTTTCCACACTTTGTCACACCTTTTCTTTTTCACAATAAATGTCATAGACTCTCATCATGGCTGTTTGTATCTCACGGTGCTCCCGATATCCAGCAGCACAAGCCCTCTGACATTTAGCCAGATGGTCTAAGTCATTATCTTTTGGTCCTGTCCTCCCCCATCCCCCATCCAACCTGCTCATGCTCTCCCTCTGTGATCTACCCATGTGACCATAGCCAGCTGTTCATTGGCTGGCACCACGAAGGCATCTGTCCAATCGGTGCGGTTCACTCATATAAACATAAGCAAAGCAGCATTCTTATGATTCAGAACAGTGTCTTACTTTCAGTGAGGAGTCAATGTGAAATACTACACTGGTAGTTTGTCTTCATTCTCATACCCACAAGAAGAGGGGATCTTCTACTTTTGAGGGAACTATTCTGGCTGTAGGAGCATCTGCTGTTGCCTGCGTTACTTTGATCTCGCCCCATTGACACTGTGACCAGCTAACAGTGTTTATGGTTCGATCCTTTTCTATATACACATGCAGTTTCAGCCCTGACACACTGGACATGGCTTTGACATGTAAGTACAGAAAGCCTTTCAGTGACCGTATTTAATCTTAACTGACTCTACTCACACCTGAGAATCACAGGAGTAGTTGAAGAACTGAATGATTGGGTGATGTTTTGTTATTGCCAACACTGCATGATCATAGCAGATTAGGAATGGAGTTGGTTGGCAGACCTGTTGAAAATAATTTTTCTTTTAAAGTACTGTACAGTCAATTCATGTTTTTGTAACACATCAGGACAAAGATATAGCTTTTCTATACAAACCCCTAAAATTATATCTGCTTTGTGTGTGTGTGTTTTGGAATACAAACACAATTTCTGATTATTACTCATATTTAAGGACTCCCTGGCTTTTTAGTGAAGGGGGGCCCATTTATAGCTTATGTCTTCAATAGTCTTTTGCTTTGTTTGTCACTGGGAGGGTGTGAATTACTGCTCATTGCTTTATAATATTATAGGCTCCATTATCATTTTATTTATACTGGTGACTAATAGCAAAATATGTTATATGTAAATATTTTTACCATTTAGAGGACTCATCTGTTTGTCTGGACAGGCTGTATAATGAAACTAATCTGAAGCATGGTGAAAAAAGTCAGAATAATTAATTGTCATATATAATAAAATATATTTTTATATATGACAATCAATATTGGGCCGAGATACAACTATTTGAAAATCTGGAATATGAGGGTGCAAAAAAAAAAAAAAAAAAAAATTGAGAAAATTGCCTTTAAAGTTGTCCAAATGAAGTTCTTAGCAATGCATATTACTAATCAAAAATTAAGTTTTGATATATTTACAGTAGGAAATTTACAAAATATCTTCATGGAACATAATCTTTATTTAATGTCCTAATGATTTTTGGCATAAAAGAAAAATCAATAATTTTGACCCATACAATGTATTTTTGGCTATTGCTACAAATATACCCCAGCAACTTAAGACTGGTTTTGTGGTCCAGGGTCACATATTAGAAATAATTCTTCTACACTGCATATTCAGTATATTAAAACTTGAATGTTCTTAGACACTTTTTATTCTACTTGGTCTTGTTTTATTATGTGCCTAAGGATATTTCCCTCCTGTAACCCTTTTTTCAGATACTGATTCGAGTCATGAAAATGTATTTCCATAGTGCCATCCAAATGCTTAAGTACACACTTAAATGTCAATTACATTAAAAAGAACACATTGTCTCCTACACTACAAAGAATAAAACTCACTTTTCATTTTAAAAGGCAAAATGGTGAAAGCTAAAACCTTGAATGAATTTTTGGACCACCATGAATTTACATATTGATGAAGAAAAACTAAACCCAAATAGAAATCGTGACGATTTACACAGACAGAAACAGATGCTGTAACATGATGGAAAAATTTCGTAAAGTACAATAAGACAAAACACATGGCAACCGAGCAATTAACCATAACCAATGTGTCCTCTATACAGACATTAGCTGGCCCAATCTCTTCAGTGCACTATGTCAGCATGTTTGTCTCCAGGCTCTGACTGTGTCACAGCACTGTTGGAGATTAGACTGACAGGGCCTTAATCCCATAGAGCTCCTCAGTTCCCCCTGCCAGACCCCAGCACTGTGCCAGGCCCGTACCCAACGGTCACACGAACGCATGCAAGGTCTGAGATAAAGAAAAACTCCATTAAGCCACACAGATAAAGTATTACATAAGAGAAGACTCCGACTGAATAAACTGCAGTGTAGCCAACAGCAAATGATGTTAAATCACAAAACACTCTTCAACAGAGTGAACTAGAATGACAGCTGGTGAAGCCTCCAGGCATTCAAGCCAATGAAAATCAAGTTATGAATAAAGCAAAAAGATGTGTTGATTCAATTATTTGAAGGGCTATGTCTCTACCTCTTTAGGCAGAGAAAAAACAGAAAAGGTATGCCACCCAAAGTGTCACATTGCAGTTTAACACAGTGGACAGTGCCAGGCCTCACAGGCCCTTGCTGAAGTCAGAGATGTTGAGCGAGGATGACCCCAAATCACGCCCAATGCTGTAAGTACATCCTCTTATAGTCTAGAAACCACATTCAGACCTCATAAAGCAATACACTGCTGGTTATGAATGTCCTGTCAGACATCAGTTTCTTGTTTAGTTAATAATTAATTTTCCTTAAGTGTATACTCTGCTAAATGCATCTTAGCTTTAACTAATTAACTAATGGACCAGCCACCATATTCCAAAACTGTTTTTTTCCCATTCCATTGCGATCCTTTTAATGGTGTTTTTCTCTCAAAACACCACTGTGCTTCATGGTGTTTTTCATTTTTTGCTTTTTAAAAACGCTGTGCTGCATTAAAAAAAAATAAACATTTAAAGTCAGCATTAAACGGAAGCTGCAATGGTCTTAGAATAGAAATAAAACCGAAATCGAGATTATCACATCACAAATGCTGCAATTTAATGAAAAGTATGCGCTGTGTGTTTCAGAGTGAAGTGCGGCACTGTGTTCTCTTATACGTGAGCAGCTCAAGATCTGCAGGTGTTTGCAGCATCTCGGTTCATAGTAAATGCAAAGATGACGTTTGTGTGGAGCAGCACCTGCTCTGAGTTTGGGTCATTTTAATGTGCATTAGGAAATACTTCCCATACTTGTAATGAGAAGCATTTAACAAGAGAGAAGCTTTAAGGGCTCAATGCAATTTTCTGTGAAAATAGAAGTTTGATGGTTTAAAATGTGAAAATAAAGATATGACAAGCATAAATATTATTGTAGTTTTATAGTTGAAATGTAAAAAAATATATATTTTAACTACTCACAATAATAAAAAATTACAATAATATTGTTACTGTTATTTTTCATTTTTTAATAATAATAATAATAATAATACATTTACTATTATTCTCACAATTATCAGAATTAAGAAGAGGCCGAATTAGATAAAAAGTCACAAAAATATGTATTACTATTATTATTTAATAGCCATATTGATAAATGCACTAAATTGTGCAGCTCTAACATTTCTCCCCCAAATTGTGCAGCCCTATGTATAGAGTGAAACGTATGGAAGGCCTTTGTCTAAATAAATAAATAACTGTAAGTGTGACTTCTTTCCTCACAATTCTGAGTTTTTCACACAATTCTAAGAATAAAAGTCAGAACTGGGAGATATAAACTCACAATTGTAAGAAAAAAAGTCAAGAATGTGAGGAGTCACAATTAGCTTTTCTATTATTTGTATTCTATGGCAGGGGGAAAAAATTAAGATGTAAAGTGAACTCAATTCAGAGAAAAAGAAAATAGAATTCTGAGTTTCTCACAATTCAGATTTTTCCCCCCTCAGAATTGCAAGAAAAAGTCTGAATTGTGAGATATAAACTTGGAATGGAAGAGAAGTCATGAGTATACATTTTTCAAAATTATGTGCATGGATAAATCATTAACAAACACTGCAATATTCCATAAAATACAAACGACTTTAAAATTGTGTCTCAAAACCTTGCTTTCTTTTTTCATTCTGCTGCTTCTTATGTTTTTAAAAGAAGGAGTGCGTTCTTCATGATGGAATAAGCCACTGGTTTGTTATTGGTTTAAGGTAATGTGTCTGATTTCAATTTCTAAAGAGAACTCCGTGAGAAGCTCCAGCCAGAGGTGATCGAGCTGATTAAACAGCAGAGGTTGAATCACCTGTGTGAGGGCACATGCTTTAGGAAGATCAGTGCTCGTCGCAGACAAGGTCAGTTACTCATTCAAAATCAGAATACAATTACATGTGCACTGGTAAACTTATTTATGCATCACGGATGCAGTTCCAATTTCAGAAAAGCCATTTGTTGGATCTGATCACAGTTGCATAGACGTAATGTTTAGCTACCACTATCAAAAACATCACATCGAATTCATTGATACTGGCTATACATAAGTTGAAGGAAGACACTGTATTTGAACTCTTCCTATGGCTTAATGTCTATTCATATTATGCACATTTTCAATAATCTACTCAAATATAGAGCATCACAAGCTTATAGGTTCCCCTGAGTACCTTATCCTAATGTTTGGTCTGTTTGATACTGCATTATATTAAAGCACAACTTAAGGATATCAATATATTAAAAAGATAATCTCATTCTGTATTTGGGACACACAACAGCCTATATACAAATGCTGCACTGTATCTCTCTTGCTCTCTCTCTCTCTCAAAAAAAGATAAATCTATATTATTAGGGCCCGAGCACCGATGGTGTGAGGACCCTATTGGAATTGCTCCGTTGACCTCTTTATCATGTTTATTTCAAAACCTATTGATATGAAATATTCATCAAGTATTCAGCATGAAAGGGCAGCCAGTTAGTCACAAGCACAGACTTAATGAGGCTTTTAATCAAAAGTGATTTTCTCAGGTCACCGCTGCTTTAATTAAAATCTGATTTTCATTTACAGTGCTGTTGACCTGCTAGCGGGAAAAAAAAAACTATAAAACCTAATTGGAATGGATCATTATGAGGACAGTAAAAAGCAAGATGCAAGAAAACAGCCAGTATATAAAATGCATATTCTTATCTGTATCCATCTCTCTTCATCTCCTCTAGACAAATTCTGGTATTGCCGTCTATCACCAAACCACAAAGTGTTACACTATGGCGATATAGAGGAGTTCTCACAAGGACAAATATCACACGACTCTCTCCAAGAGAAAGGTGAGCAACACACTTTTTGATTATAACTGACAAAGTAAATGAACATTACTGTTTTTTGTTTTTTGTTTTATCTATAATGGCTTGTCTTATTAATCATATTGATTGTTGATGCCATATACTGAGCCACCAGCTTGGACAAGGCTAGCGCTAAACATGCTTATTTTAGATGCTCGTAGTAAAGTAGAACATGATTTCTACTGTTATAACTTTGCTAACTCTACATAACATTTTTTTTCTACTTCTAGTGACAGTAGCAGATATCAAAGCAGTGGTCACTGGTAAAGACTGCCCACACATGAGGGAGAAAGGAGCACTTAAGAATAAGGTAAGAATTCATTACTGCAACTAAACTCGCCAGACAGGACAGGACAAGGTGTAGTGGATCCAAACTCACAGTACGCAAGGCAGCCTGATTTTACTGAAAAAAATGTTGCAGAGACAAGCTTCAACTCAAGATGATAACTAGTCAATAACAACAACCACCTCTAGACAGAACAATGCAAGAGTACAACAGTGGCCTCAAACAGGTACATCAACAGCTGAAAACAATTAGCAATTAATCCAGCAACGCCAATGAAGTCAAACTGACGCCATCTAGTGGTTAGATGTGGATAAAGGACTAATGGAGTAAATTTAAAGCAAAAACGTGTTCTGTATGAATGTCCCCTGACCATCCGTGTCAACAGGTGTCTTTCTGAACTTTCAAAAAAGAAGAATATGTTTATAGTTAAAGCTGAGTTATTGTTTATAGTCAAAGTAAACTGTAGGCAATAAGGTAATGATATGAGAATCTCTTGTAGGTAGCTTATTTGCACACACACAATTACTTCAACGTAACGTATGACTAAAGTGCTGTTGATGTATTCTGTGTGTATGTTTATGTATTGACGACAGATCTGCCATGTTCAGGGCATTAGAAGAGCTAAGCCGACACACTTCTGCCTTGTCCAAATACCCACACTTGCGGACTTTGCACTTGACCACTTATGTGACGTATTTCCTGTATTTGGCCCAAGTGTTCAAGTGAGGATGAAGACCACAAGTGTTTGTCGAACTTTTCATTACCTGATGGGACACACTTATAGTGCTGTAAAAATGCAAGTGTTTACATAGATTTATTTTAATTTTAAATACTTTGCATTTTAAAATCAACTTCTAAATGTCTGTTCGGTAGTCCCTATAACATGACATAGTTTTAATTTGTGGTGCTTCTAATTAAGTGATAAAAAGCAGATTCAAATGTTGTACAAAATAACACCACTACTCATCTTTGCACCAATAAAACGTAAAAACACTGTTTTTCTACCAAATTATATGTAATATATAATAATTATATTAATATTTAACTTACATTGGAAAGTAGGGGTGTAACGATTCACTCGTTTTCTCGATGTATCGATTACAAACCCTGACGATGCATGGACCTATGCATCGATCTTGAAACATGGATTTTTGAATCGTGAATCGTCGATTTCGGACAGTAATCGATTTAAAACGCTAAGAATCGAATGAATCACAATTTCCCATAAGAACAGAAGGGAAATTAATGAAGTGGTTAGTTTAATTACATATGTATATGAGTATATAAAAAATTCATACTACTCATCATTTCTTCAAATATATACAGACGGGTCAAAGAGTAAAGACACTAGAAGGAAAGGGGTTCCAGAGTTTGAGGTGAGGAAGGCTGGAAGGATAACAGATGGTGCATTCTTTTCACACTCCATCACAGTAGGTGGCGATATGCACCTTTGAAGTTGGTTCGCAACTCTCCATTAAATCAAAAGAAAAAGAAAAAGAATCTCCGTTTTTCAGCTTGGGTGAGCCCGGAAAAAATTCAGAAGAAGAATCGCGATTTCTATAGCGATTCAATGCTTTCAAAATATATACACATTAAATTACTACAAGCACGAATTAATGGAGACCTTGAACAGTGTTCACTCTCTCTACTATTTACCGCCTGTGACTGTCAGGATTGCGCTCGCGCTCCGTTCGTCTCACTGAGTACGTTTACATGGACAACAATAATCCGATTTTAACACGATTAAGACAATATTCTGATTAAGAATCTACCAGTACTCGTGGCCAGTAATGCTTAAGTGAAGTAGTTTTACTTTTCTGTAGTTTTTCAGTGGCTCTCGGTCATACCGACGACAGTCGAAGGCTGCGCATTTATTGCATGGACCAAGCAAAAATGTAAGTGTCTAAAGCATACGCACAGTTCCATTGAATGATAAATGTGTTTTAACAATGTATGGAGACCTTGAACAGTGTTCACTCTCTCTACTATTTACCGCCTGTGACTGTCAGGATTGCGCTCGCGCTCCGTTCGTCTCACTGAGTACGTTTACATGGACAACAATAATCCGATTTTAACACGATTAAGACAATATTCTGATTAAGAATCTACCAGTACTCGTGGCCAGTAATGCTTAAGTGAAGTAGTTTTACTTTTCTGTAGTTTTTCAGTGGCTCTCGGTCATACCGACGACAGTCGAAGGCTGCGCATTTATTGCATGGACCAAGCAAAAATGTAAGTGTCTAAAGCATACGCACAGTTCCATTGAATGATAAATGTGTTTTAACAATGTCCTTCAACCGAATGTACGAAGGAAACTGTTAACCCCTTAAGCTCTGGGGCGTTTTTTGGTATTTTTGCCTAAATTTGACATACTCAAATTCAAATGTTTACCCTACACACATACAATGGAGGAAATGAAAAAAAAAATGGTTTCATTGTAAAGAAAACCCTTTGAACTACAAAATATGAGTAATTTTTTTATAAATAATATTATATATGTTTCAAATATTACAATAAACACTAAAAAACATAGGCGCTTTTGGATTTAAAAAAAAATAAAAAATCTTTTTTGAAAGTCTGTTATTCAGGTTCTATTAGGTCCAGCTCTCTGCAACTTACTTTGTTTGATGCCACTAGATGCCAAAATGTACCAGAAAAAATAATCTTTCCAAAAACCGCTTCTAAACAGGAGTTATTGCATTATAAGTGAAGCGAGTAAAATTGTCCTTTTTTTGCATCTACAAGTGTCATTTTGAGTTTCCTTTGCAAAAACAGGCTTTATAAAACACATTACCCCCAGAATCCTCTTTTACTATGTGCCATAAGCACTTTTCTTGATTATTGATTGAATTAGGTTTCATTTTTATGTTTTTCTTAGTAATATACAAAATGGCATAAACGAATTGGACCAAATTTCACATTTTGTGTTTTCTACACTCTAAAATATATCTGGTCTATCACAATCTAAAATAGAATCCACATCCTCCAGCTTTATATCATTCCACCACAATCTAAAATAGAATCTACATCCTCCAGCTTTATATCATTCCATTTATGTGCATTCTGTATTGGTATACTGTTCGGAGCATCTCCTCACCGCATCACCTGAGCCCTGCATCACCTGCTGCCTCACCTGCCTGCATCCTGGAGACAAGATGCGAGCTGCGCCGCTAGCTGCTGCTGCTGCTGCTGCTATCTGATCTTCAGAGCGTGAAACAAACAAATAACTGTTCATCCACACAGCACTGTAATAATCCATGTATATTTACAGTATATTTACTGAAATGCATTCTGTACTGTACTTTTCTGTCAATAAACAGTTTATCAGATTGTTAGCTGTGCTTTCACGTTTCAAAATAAAGATTCTATCAAAAACGGAGCAAATGCGCTCATAAACCCTCACCAGACGCGCGTTCATTCCTCTCCACGGCGCCGCTGAACGTTCTTCATCATCTATAACTTTTATTATAATGTTCAAAGATTGCTTTTATCCGAGCCGCCGATGCGTTAGCCTTTTTTGTCTTTTTTTTTTTTTTTTACACGTTTTTTTGTCATCATCATTCATGTTAAAGATGCACATTTGCCGATAAATTTGTAATAAATGAAAGGATATTCCTCTCTTAAGACTTAGGCCTATTTTAAAAACTTGATCAGTATCAGCACTTTATAGTTCTAAATTGACCTTGTTGGAAACTCAGCACTCCAGCTGGGTGACTTTGGGAGGAGGTTGTAGCGGTGACAGAAGCCATCTGTTGTGCAAAGGCACCTGTAGTAAAGTTCAACTGGGAGTTGTGGGAGAGGAAGTGAGGTCAGGTACTCTGTGCTTGGAGATTATTATTCTTTGACTGCTTTTCAGGAGCTGCTGGAGCTGGCTTTTTCCATTCTTCATAACTCTGATGAATATCTGAACTTCATTGCTCCGGACAAGCATGAAGTGAGTAGGCCTATATCACAGCATATACAAGGCCAGTATGGGATTACATCTCTGCCACAATTCTGCGCGGAAAAATATTTTGAGCGCGCAAAAGTGCATTTTTGCACGCGCGAGAACTGAGTTTTGTGGAGAAAATGTTTGTCTCGCAAAGCAGAAAGTATTTTGAGCGCACGAAAATAAATTTTGCATTTAAAATAAGTTTTTGGATGTGTGCAGACCTTCTCTTTTGCGTGTGCAACGTTTCACTAGCTTGCTCACCTGATGCCCGCCCTCAGTGCTTTTTAAATACCAACAGCTCGCGTGCTCAACACAACCCAGCGTTACAATATGCCATAATTCCAGCCAATCAGAGACGAGGCTGCTAAATTCTGACTGGCTGCCCTGACAACCAATCACAACTTTCCTTGCATTACCTTGACAGCAGAAGAGGAAAAATACAGTGCATGCATAATTATTATGCAAGTT